CCGGACATGCCCTAAATTCCACACACTGCAGTCAGCTTAATCCCCCACTAGTCCCCTATGTATCAACCTCTGTTTTAAAACAGCTGCAGTTTTCATCTGGGCCTCACATTGGTAGTTCCACCACCCTCAGAAATTTGTGTGTGGTGGCCTGGGAGAGGGCACTTTTGGTGGCCACCACAAAGTTTTGGAATTCCCTCCCCACAGAGGTGTATCTGACACATTCCTTGTGTAGTCTCCATTGTACCTTGGCCTCTGGTACGTGACCTGAGATATATATGAGATATATATTATTAGGATCCACCCTATTATTGTGACTATAATTTGTTTTTAATTGTTTTTAATATTGTATTTTTAAATTGCTGTAATCCTCCCTGGAACCTTATGGTGACAGGTGGGTAAGGAATCAGACATATGTTGTTGCTGTTAATTTTATATCAGTGGCACCAGAGCAGCTGGCCTCTTTCAGTGACCTCTCGTATATGTGTGTAGGGATGAGGGATGGGGAAGAAAGTCATTTCAGTGTACGCTTAAATGTGAATCTAGTTGGTTAGAGTGTGATGCTGATTACATCAAGGTTTCAGCTTTGATCCCCATATGGGACAAGCTGCATGTTCCTGCATTGCAGGGGATTGGACTAGATGATCCTTGGGGTCCCTTCCAACTCTACAATCCCATAATTGTACCTAATTTATATTTCCCCAAAACAAAATGTGAACCAAAAGTCAACTTTCTTTCAAAAGACTCAGAATTTTGCATATATTATGGGGAAATGTACATGAAAACGCTCACAATAGTGAAAATAACATACAAAAATACATTCCGTTAGGTAAAATTGCTTACAAAAGTGTGCACATTGGGCAAAATGTGGAATAAAATGCTTATGAATACTTCTAAGATTTTTTTTTTTTAAAAAAATCACAGTCAGGTGTGAAAATGTGATGGACTGAACTTAACACTGGAAAAATGCAAATCTTAAACTGGCAGATTTCTCCATCCCTAGTAGGGGTGAAAGACACCTGCTTAGATTTCCTCCAACTCATCCCACACCACTCATTGTGCACTATAGCTTTAAAGAGGGAACGTGGGAAGGGGCTGTCTGGACGGGCCTTTTCTAAAAGACCCCTGTCCTACCATATGTGTGTGGCCTGTCCCTTTAAGGCATTCTCCTTCACATAAGGAATGTGAGGTATGTGCCTGGTAGGGAAATGCACACCCTGGCCTCTGCCCTAAGTAAATAGGCAGGTTGCCCATAGAGGCTGTGACAACCTTGCATTATTTAAAGTTAATCTGTGACTCTGCAGCGTTGCTGGTTCATAGGCAGAGTCAGCATTAGTAGTAATAATAAAGGGATATGATATTGTGAAATGTCATTCTTTGCTCTCCTTGTCATTCCGAAGGAATGTGCTCCTGTGCAAAGAAAGCCGGTGCTTTAATGTAGTGCATTTCATGCATGCAGGTCTTCTGTTGTCCTGAGGCTGAACTTCTATAGGCCTGGAGAAACATAGAGCCTTTCTTTCATTACAAGGGTTACATCCGGTCATAGGGATAGATTCAGCGAAATAGCTGTGCTAGTGGGAGCAATGAGCTGCACTGGTGCAACAGGGATTTCTTCCTCTCTTCCCTCCACTTGCACCTCCACCCCAGTCAACCTAGAACAGCATGTGGTGGTGGATGAAGATAGGAGGAGTGTATTCTGTCTGGCAAGCAAAATGTCTACAGTTTGGTGAAGCATTGGTCTCGGCTAATGCCTTCTCTCTTGACAGAGAGAGGTAACTCGAAATGGTCTCTTCTGCCATTTAAGGCACACAAGCTAGAAACTGTGTATAGGAGGAAGTGGTCTTAAACTCCAAGATGAGAACTCATTTCAGAGGTAGCTACTGTGGGGACTTCAGCAGGGTGTTCAACAATCCAGAGTAAGATTCCGTCTCTATAGCCATATATATGTGGGCATGGGCCATTTCTGCAGTGCTTGTTGGGGTTTGAGAACGTGCAGCAAGCCTTAACCAGCAGAGAACAGGAGGGGGATGTGCTGGAAGGGGCAGGACTTGCTAGTCTCTCCGCCCCCCTCCTCTTATTACATAAAGAGAACCCCTTAAAAAGGCTTGGGATTGATCCAATTCTGAACTGAAACAGCAACAGGAATGTATAAAAATCTGCTAAAAAGCAGAAAGAGAAACAGATTTTGTCAACATGGCATTTCCAAATGATGTTGGGATTTGTGACAGCAATGGATGTGCAAGAAGTGCTATAAGAAAAACCTTACGAAAGAGCAAATTGCTTTTAATAGCTATTCTTGTTGTATGGCTCTTGTTTTGTTCCAGCTAGTCTTGTTTTTATACTTTGTTTATCTGTTAGTTTTTTAACATTGCGAGTCACTTTTTGTGAAATATGTGACATGACTTAAAAATACTTACTATGTAGTTTGAAAAAATGTTTGTTCACTGTGTATTTGGACACCTTTTTAAGATATTGTAACCACATTTTGCATAATGGTTCCTGACATCAAAGAGCAGGTTTTCGTCTGTGTTCAAGTACATTTAGATGGCATTTTGAATCAAGATGGTGGGCCAAACTGATTTTTTAACCACTGATTTCAAAACTTTTCTGATATGCTAGTTTTATATTGGTGATCACTTTAGTGGTTAATGTGGACATGGGCCAACTTCTGCATGTGCATGCTTGTTTGTTGTCATCTACACATGAGTGCTTTCAAAACCTCTTACTATTTTCTGTCTGCACTAGTAGGTGGCGTTTGATTGGATGTATTCACTATATTGTCTTGGTGTTCCCTGCCCTCATATTGTACTTCCTAACTCATCATAGGTTCTGGAAACCTGAGGTCCATTGTGGGCATGTATGCAGGTATTTACTTACCCATGCACACACTTCAAAAATTTCTGAAATACAAGTTTTCTAGTGTGCCAAATTTGTACAAAAGGCACTATTTTTTTACTGTATGTGTTGCTCCAAGCCAGGAAACCTGAAGTCTGTTGTGGATATTTGCACAGATATTTGTTACCTATGCATGTGCATGTTTTAATTTTTTATATACGGGCTTTCTGATGTACCAGATGTGCACAAAACAGTGAATGCCGCCGCCGCCCCTCCAATAATGTGTGTGGCTCCATGTCAAGCAAGGATTTGGAGACAGTGGCATGAAAGACGGTCACTTCCTTGCCTTTATTTCCTTTCCCACTTCTTGTACCTGAAAGGACAAGTTTTATTTTTATTTTTAATACAGCTGTTTCAAGCAAAAGCACTTCTGGCCAAAATAGCTGGGTTGTTGTTTTTTTTTTTTAAATACTGTTAAAATGTGAATGTGCCTTCAGCAGCTTTTCTTTGGGCAGATGGAAACAAAATGGAAGTAGGAAGTGTGGCAGGCAGCACCCAGTGAAATGTCACCAGTCATGTAAAACAACCTGCCCACACAATGCACTTCATTGGATCAACAGTCTGGTCACATACTATTTTATCTTGTATTTTCTTCCTTTACTGGATTATCCATGGATTAGGAAAATTCAAATTTAGTGGGAAAAGGTGTGGGCTGCCATTTGGATAAGGAGGCGTCATATAGACAATGCAAAAAGAATAATAATTAGAGACAAAATGAGCTGCAAATCCACATTAACCACTGGTGTGGACCAATCCTTAGAATTCCCAAGCAATTCTGGGCACAAGGTTGCTAGTAATAAATAATAATTTTGCCCAGAGTATTTATTTTTATTTATTCCTGAAAGGTAGGGTGTGTGAGTGAGAGCTATGCATAGACAGAAGTGGGTTTAAAATGGCTGCAACATTTATCAGTTGTGCGCAAAACATTTTGCCTTGATTTTTTTTAAAAAAACATTATGTTAAAAACATTTTGCCTTGATTTTTTTTAAGAAAACATTATGTTAAAAGTACAGTGTATAGGAATTTTAACTTGCTGCAGTTGTAAGGTGTTTAATTTTGTTTGCTTTATTTGCTGATTCTTTTTGTATTTTTGTATTAGTATTGTTTATTTTGATTGGCTGCCCTTCAGCAACAGGTCCCAGAACAGGTTACAACAATTTAAAAGTTGGTGTTAAAAAAGTTAACATAGGTCACTGTCACAGCGATAGGGTAGGTCTTAAAAACACACCTCAGATGTCAAAAGCCAAGGCAAAGATTATTACTGTATATGAATAAAGAACAGCCCAGCGACGACAAGCAGACCAGTAGTGATTGTTTGTGAGGTGTGGAAAAGCAGAGCAGGGTAACAACTGCAATATCACATATATTTTTCCTCAGTAGGAAGGAAGCCTCATTTATTTCAAGGGAGTTACTTCTAAGTAACATATACTGAACCAAGCCCATTTTGTTTTATTCTATAAAGGCAGCGCACTGAGTGAATGAAATAATGTGGGCATGAGGAAAGTGCTTTAACAAACACACCCCAGTATCCTCTTCTTCTTAGCTTCTGATTTTTCCTGCTGCTCTAGGAGGGGCCCCTCTTGAGTCCCAGGCTTGGGCATCAATATTTCTTCCTCCAGTTGCTTAGCAACAGTGATGAAGTGTCCTTAGCAGCAGTGCTGCCTGCTGAGTCACATTTTCTGCTCTAATTTTCTTCATAAATGTCTGATTGACATACTTATGCTACTAAAAAAGGATGAAGGGTGGGGTGGGGGGGTTGGCCACCCACAAACTCCTACCCCTTCTACCTGTTTGTTGGTGGCCCTGAGGACACTACTTCCAATAATTGATTGATTATTATAGCAATGTATCATGGTGAAGGGAAAGTACCACTAAGTCAAGTGTATTGACTTTATTGGATCCCAAGGCTTGCGAATTTGGGCATTGCTTTATATCTTGTTGTAAGCTGCCATGTGCGTAAAAGCACCAAGGTATAAATGAATTGAAATCCTTGAAAAATGATATTCATATGCAGCGACTGTCAGGATTTCTGCAGCAGTAATCTGTTTTTGAGTATGTTCTGAAGTTGTGATATATGTTTATGGCTTCTTCTTTTGTTTCCTCTCCAGAGTTCTTCAGTCATACCTACTGCTCTCTTACCTGAATAGTGATATGCCTAAAAAGGATTTGTGGATAGGGACAGCTGACCCAGAACCCAGAGCAATTGTTCACAGTGCAGGCAGTTGTGACAGTATGATCAGCAACGACTCCAGCTTGTCCGGAAAGGTATATTAATTTAATTCAATTTATTTTTCTGTTCCACATAATTTCAAAACCTTCAGACTGGTCTATAGCCCTAAATAAAATATCCAACTGCTAAAACATTTAAGAAATATAAAAGATAAAGCACCATCTTAACCTTGGGCTAAAGTTTTCAACTAATTTTTTTTAAAAATCGGAATTACTTGCAAGCTAGGGCTTTGTATTGTAGGGATGGGGAACCTGTAGTTGCACTACAACTACCATAATCTCTGAGATGCTGAATTAGGCTGATGGGAGTTGGAGTACAAAAGATGGAGGGGGCCACAGGTTCCCCATTCCTGATAAACAGGGATAAGCATCTTGTTTGGGGCAACTAATTTTTGAGGCAAGTGTTTGACTTGATTGTCACTTAGGTCACTTCCTTGTGTGCTGTTTCTAGGCAGGGATCTGTGCTTTCATGCTCAGTGACCGAGTCCTTTTCTATTTCCCCCAGCACTTTCTCTGTGAAAACCTGTTCTTTACCGCTGAATCGAAGCAAACGGCAATCCACAGAAAAACCAAATTGCCATTTGTTTCAATGTAGCATAAATAGCGGGTTTTCCTTGGGAAAGCAGCAGGGGGGAAAAATTTAAGCGCTCAGACACAGAGTTTGCAAGCATGAACATGTACTGTACCTAGAAAGCACGGTGTGGATGAGCTCTTGGTATTAAATTATTTGAGTTATGGTCATGAATGTCTGAACTTGCCCTTAGGATGTGAGGCTTCTCCAAGCACCTATGTGTAGGAATTTTCCTCAGTCAACCTGCTGAGAATCTTAAAATTCGAATGACAACTGAATGGCGGTACTTCCACTAGAAATGTTTTGGAGCTGCTGTTGTTGCAGTTTCCCAATGCTTAGTCCATTGAAGAATAATAATAATGCCATATTGAAGAGATGGTGATGGGGAGTGCACTGTGGTGAGCCTTAGCCAAGTTTGTGCAAATGCAAACTTCTGTGATATGTTTCACTAAAGTTTAACACAGCTTCACTCCAAGTTTAGCACTGTCATTCTGTAACCTGTGAGGTGGAGTGGATTTGTCCAGTGAGTGCATGGGTATCTTTATCATCTGCTCACAGTGTCTGCATCATGGACTCATGATGAGACCAGGAAAACAATTTCCTGTCTGACTTGAAGCTTACTAGATATTTGCTAACTGTAATTTGTAGAGATTTACTAACCACAAATTACCATAGCTGTCAACATTTCCTTTTTTTAAAGGAAAATTCCCTTATTCTGAATAGGATTCCTCGCAAGAAAAGGGAAAAGTTGACAGCTATGCAAATTACAGTTCTCAATTGAACTTCCATTCCTTCTGTTGCACACTAGAAGTGAACTTGTGCATTTAATTAATAACGATGAGCAGGGTAGTTCAATTATTGTGGGGCCTCTACCTTGTCATCGTAATAAACCTGTACCTTGCAAAAACTCCCACATGGCCTCATCCTAGAAGAAGCAAGGGAAGCCTAATATGTGGCCAATACCACAGCACTCCAACTCTTCCTATGTCAGCCTTTTATCTTATTACCATTTGGGTATATCAGTTGGGACATTGACATTAACTAATTGACAGTTTGGAACTCAGCTTGGAATATCTATGCTTTAAAATTACAGAAAGCAAACAAATCCTGTGAATCTTGGAATCTGGTGGTTGTAATTTATGCATTCATTTTGGCCATTGGGCCATTGAACCAAATATCTTGTGGCCACGTTCAGTCTTTCTGTCTGAAGTCTTTGAGAATGGGAGTGGAGGTTGCAGAAAATTAATGGTCTATTTTGACAAAATAATAATAATAATAATAATAATAATAATAATAATAATAATAATATTATTATTTATACCCCGCCGATCTGGCTGGGTTTCTCCAGCCACTCTGTGCGGGTTCCAACAAAATGTTAAAATACAATAGTCCTTCACATATTAAAAGCTTCCCTAAACAGGGCTGCTGTCATATGTCTTCTAAAAATCTGGTACAGTAGTTGTTTTTCTCTTTGACATCTGGTGGGAGGGCATTCCACAGGGTGGGTGCCAGTACCAAGAAGGCCCTCTGCCTGGTTCCCTGTAACTTGGCTTCTCACAGTGAGGGAACCGCCAGAAGGCCCTCAGCGCTGGATCTCAGTGTCTGGGCTGAACGATGAGAGTTGAGGTGCTCCTTCAGGTTTTCTGGACTGAGGCCATTTAGAGCTTTAAAGGTCAGCACCAACACTTTGAATTGTGCCCAGAAACATACTGGGAGACAATGTAGGTCTTTCGGCAGGAGAACAAAAAAGGGAGAACAATAGTGGTGGTGTTGACCTTGGTTATAAAGATTAGGTAGTGCTCCTTTGTAGGCTGTACTGACAGACCAAATTCTTGCAAATTCACTGCAATAATTAAGTCTTTATGGAAGGTAATAAATCTGAGTTGAGGATAATTCTTTTTGAGTTTTTATGTCTCCGTGTTCATGTTGCTCAGGGTGTTTTTGTTTTTTTGTTTTGAAGAGTGACAGTGGCTATGACTATCTATCAGTGGCGGAGAAAGAATGTCTTATGTTCCTTGAAGAAACACTAGACTCTCTGGATACTGAAGGAGACAGCGGAGTTTCTACTGATGAGGCAGAGACAGCTGAGTCTTCTAAGCATCCACGGACGTGGCCTATGAGAGATGTTCCTAAAGGTAAGCTGAGTTCTCTCTGAAGCATCATTCCTGGCTCAGTTTTGGTGGTTGTGAGGAAACAAAGAACAGAACTAGTTTCAGAACTGTAGAGTTCCGTGTGGAAAAAGTGTTTCACATGCATGTTCTATTAAGAGCACAAAATTTAGGGGTAGATCTAGTTGCTTGGATGCTAAAAAGCACACATTCATTTTAGCTCCTTTGAACAACTAAAAGTAGCCATAATGAGCTTGAGTTATCTCTTTAGATTGGTAACTTAAAGTATTATGGTTCAAGGCAATGCACTTATGCTGTGGAAAAACCAAAGACATTTCCTAACCTCTAAATCTAGTTCCAGTTTGGTTACAAACACACATCCCCACCATAGAAACAAACAGAGAGACAGACAGACAGAAATATTCTCTGTTACTCCTTGAGCCTGTCTCTGTCGCTGCTTTTAATCTAATAAATACCATGTGTGGGATTTGTTAAAATATCACTTTGATACAATTAGTATTTTGTTTTTAATTCATCCTTTTGTGGTAAGGCAAATAATTTAAGGACTTGGGTTTGCTCTTCTCCTCTTTCTCTTTGTGGAGGTTTTGTGATAGTAAGATTGTAAGAACAATACTTACTTCTCCTTCTTTTGTTTCTTTTTATCCCCACTCCCAATATTGTAGAGCTGGATCATGAAAATCTAGGAAAGCACAACAAAATTGAACCAAAGAGCAAAAAATGTCTTTCTGGCTCTGTTCCTGTTGTCACCCCAAATCCAGGTCACCATATCTTTCCAAGGAACATCAGCGTAAAAAGTGCTCCCAAGGATTCCCTTGCTGAAGCAACAGGGTCTAATGTTGCTGATTCTCTGAAATGCCAGACTTCTTGGGGGTCTCCTAAGCACGAGCCAGTGGACATACCAAATGACAAGCCTAAAATGAGCTCCCAGTTAAGGCCATCTAACTTGGAATCTATAGTCATCCCACCCCCTGAACCTTTCCAGGACCAGCGGAGGAGTCATCCCAGAAGTGGGCAAGATCCAAGTGGGACACCTCACTATGAAAATAAGAGGAATGTTGATGTAGTGGAAGGATATGGGGCTGCAGCTACCCAGACGGAACTTTCACTAGATAAGTTGGGGGTAGCAATTGGGAAAGAAGCCATTCTGAAACCTCTCTCTCCTAAAAGTAGCAAGAAGATTTCTGAACAAATTACTGCTGCTCAAGAAAATTATCAAAAACCTACACTGGAAGAACCTGCCCTAGATCCCAACTTCAAGCAAGGTCCTCCCACTGCCCCCAAACCCAGGAAACTGCCACCCAATATTATCCTTAAAACCAGCAAAGGTAATGCTGTGTCGCTCAATGTGGATCCCAGTCACAAGATAAAGGTTCTGGCTCCATCAAACGGCAGGCCCAGAGCTGCAACTGGTGACTTTTCCATGGAAAAAGTTCATTCGATCCAAAATGAACAGGGGAGAGCCAGGAGAGAAGCTCTTAAGAAACTGGGTCTCCCATTAGATCAAGAAAAAGATCCCGATGATCATGTGATCAAAACTACACCTTACTCAATTCCAAGAGAAACTCCCAGGACAAGCAGCAGGGAGAATGTAAATATGGATAATGTCACCTCTGATAAGAAATCTGATGAACAGCACAACCAGGTTGGTGGGAAAGAAATCTACCCAGTGGATATCAACCTTGCAGCTGTCAAGCAAGTCAATGTCAAATCCAAAACACTGGAGCGTTCAGGTGTCGGTTTGAGCAGTTGCATCTCTTCTGGGAGCGAGGACCAGAATATTAAGAACAGTGGTTCACTTGGCAAAATGTCGTTTTTTGACAAGATCACTCCAAACTTCCTACGCAGTAGCCGGCCACGCCCAGCTTCCCTTGGCACAGGGAAAGACTTTGTTGATCTGAAGGAAAACAAAATGCATAATGCTGAGTTGGAAAAAAGCGACAAACGACGATCTTATCCACTTCAGCCCCCCTCTAAGCTGCCCAGGCAACCGTGTGTCAGTGTAAAGATCACCCCTAAGGGGGCCACAGAGGAGCATAGGAAGGAGGCTTTGAAAAAACTTGGTCTATTGAAGGAGTAAGCCAAATCATTTGATTAGTACAAAAACTGTGTGTTCAGTTGTGGATAATGAGTATACTTGCTTGCTCCCTCCGCTTCTTCAGCTAAAATGGGAGGAATTGCAGCATAGGATGAAGGTCTTGTCTAGTCTGTAGACATTCTTGATGGATTAACCAGCACTGGCTTCAGCTGTCTGCACAAGAACTAGTACTTCTGTAGAGGAGGATTAATTCTGCCATTTACATCTGCCACCACCTTTATAGGATCTTAGGGTGTTGTATATAGTGTATAAAAGTATGATTATGTAGGTATGTATGAATGTATGACTATGTAATAAGTATGTGGTTAACTGGAAGGGGGAACTCTCAAGGATCTAAGTTGTAATTACTATGCCAAACTATGAACTCATAGGCCTTGTAACAAGACGACAGCCATATGGCTAGAAATCTTTGGTTAAGATTGAGTTGCAATAATGTTTTTTGGTTCATTTTTAAAACTCTGGGCCTGATAATCTGCTGCACACAGTGTAGCTGGTGGAATCAGGAGGCCTGTTTGTATCCACTGAGATGACGCATGCGCTAGATATTTAATAAACTGGCAAGAATGCATCGGATATGAATCTTAAGTGTCAAGTTCATGAATGATAAGTACTTGCCAATTCACCTCCAACATGTCTTCAAAATGGCTGGCTAGAATTTGATTAAAAGCAAATGAATACTAGAACTAGAATTGATCTGGTTGATGGTAGTTTGTTGTACCTGCTTATGTGAACAAATTACTGTTGTATGCTCATTGAAAATCATGCAGTATTCTAGAATGAAAATTGCATTAAAAATTGAAAAATAAACTATTTTATATGGAGGAAACTTTGGGTTTTCTTTGGTTAGTAAAACATGTTAAAATAGTAAAGTGGAGTAGGGAGAACTGGTCTGTGGGAAACACAAAATTTAACCATAACCTTGAAAGTAAGCATAGTTGCATAGTACAGTGGTGCCTCGCAAGACGAAATTAATCCGTTCCGCGAGTCTCTTCGTCTTGCGGTTTTTTCGTCTTGTGAAGCACGGCTATTAGCGGCTTAGCGGCTATTAGAGGCTTAGCGGCTTTAAGAAAAAGGAAACAAACTCGCAAGAACTTGCAATACATTTCGTCTTGCGAAGCAAGCCCATAGGGAAATTTGTCTTGCGGAATGACTCAAAAAACGGAAAACCCTTTCGTCTAGCGAGTTTTTCGTCTTGCAAGGCATTCGTCTTGCGGGGCACCACTGTATTTGGCAGCTCAGCAGGTCTCCAATCTATAGGGGAAGGATGGATTTTTGGCTTTGAACCAGCTGAACTGTAGTATTTATGTGGTGGTGGGGAACACATCAAAAGAGCTTGGGAGCTGATCATCCACTATGATTAAAAAAGTATTCTTTTGTAAAAGCCAAGTGCTATTGTGCAACAGTTCTGTTTATATTTTCCTTCCCTCTCTCACACTTTCCCATCTCAGGAGTTAAATACCATAAGAAATTAGAGAGAAAATGTACTGTATCTTACGGTAAAGGGACCCCTGACCATTAGGTCCAGTCGTGACCGACTCTGGGGTTGCGTGCTCATCTCGCTCTATAGGCCGAGGGAGCGGGTGTTTGTCCGCAGACAGCTTCCAGGTCATGTGGCCAGCATGACTAAGCCGCTTCTGGTGAACCGCCATTTACCTTCCCACTGGAGCGGTCCCTATTTATCTACTTGCACTTTGACGTGCTTTCGAATTGCTAGGTTGGCAGGAGGTACTGTATCTTAGTTCAACACTAAACGTTGTAACACAATTCTTTTTTAATTATTAGAAACTCTCATCCAGATATTACTGAGTGCACACAAAACACCTAACCCATTCATTTTGTTGGTATGTTGTTGTTCTAGATCAGGGTTTGTCAAACTGGTCCTTACCACCCACTAGTGAGCATTTCAGGTTTCTAGGTGGGCGGTAGGGGGTTTTATGGCACAAGCTCAATCCTCCTTCCATCGATCAATGTTGGGCGGTAAGGAAATTTTACTATCAAGAAAGATGCATTAGTGGGCAGTAGGCATAAAAAGGTTTACTATCCCTGTTCTAGATGAAGTTGCATGAAGAAACTAACAGCATACTTGTATTCTAAAAGTTATTCTGTGGCTAACTGATTTAAAGTCTGATCTGTAGCTTGGCTTTATTTTACTGCCACCTGCTACCAGCTCTGCCCCAGGATTTTGAACTGTAGAACCAGAGACTCCATGAACAGATTTCTACTCTCCTACATTTGTTAAATTGGTGATGCTACAAGACTATAGGCATTAGCAGCCTCCTCAAAGCCAATTCGCATCACTTTGCAGCAGAGAGCCACATTTATGTCCAGCTCAATATACCTCTGAACTGCAAGTTGGCAGGACCTCACTCAACCAACTGTTAATAAATACAAAGACATGTGAAGAAAGTAAAATGACTAGTCTGAACATATGACAAAGTCAACTTGTTAAAATCTCTTCAAAAATATGGGTGAAATGTTTTTATAACTGACTCATGGGTTAGAGGCAATTCCTGACAGGAACTTGCCAGGGGCATTCTCCTATCTACCCTAAATATGCTTCAAATCTACATTTTAGCACTCAGTCCTAATAGTATCCCAAATGTCAACTCAAAATTGCTTGTGTTCCCAGGATACTAATTTAACTTATGTCAATTTTAATGGTTGGGTGAACTTTTGTATTGGACTTTGATGCCTTCCTGTTGTTGTTTTTAAAGTGCAAATTTTCTCATGCCAATTTGTTTCTGACATTAGAGGAAATAAAAACCCATTTTAGAGTGGAACTTTGGGTGTGGCTCCTGTTAAATAACTGACACCAAAATCCTTAACTAAACATATAGAAAGAAGTCTTGTTGATTTTGAAAATGCAACTAATACCTGCTTACATAACATTTTTTTTTGGCTTGGAGTGTAAGCTGGAACTTTTTTTCACTTGGCCTTCTATAAATTTTGCAGTTGACTATTATACTTAACCAGAACTGATATTTGTTATTATATTGGCAAAACCATTCAAACATTCCCAGCCTGCCCCCCACCCCACTTTACGACAGGCTGGAAGGGTTTTTGAATTGAATAGATGTATCCCTCTGCTCAGCTGAGCTGGCCTCTTGCCATCTGCTATAGATGGAGTGGTCCAGAAAGCACTCCAGCATCCACCTCCCCCTTAGGTCGACTGAATGTGCAAGTGGGTGGGAGGCTCACAAGCAGAAAGCCCCAAAATGGGGTTCTGAGGGCAGGGAGAGGCAGGACAAAGACACCTTTGGATCTCTTACAATCCTGAGTAGTCTCACTGCCATCACCCAGTGGCATTGGGCCTGCTCCAGACCTGATCTCTGCACCCGCCTGCAGCTGGCACAGGGATCAGATCCAATTGCCCTCTCCCCTTCCCCAGCTCCTGCAATGGCCAATTTCAGCAGCTGGATTAAAGATGTGGCGGTGGCTCCCCTCAGCCATGCCAGTAGTGGGTGACGTTTTTGATTGTGCCCTGACTTTGGAAGTTTTTTCATCACATTTGTGTGCTAATAAAAGAACTATGTTTATAATGGCCTAATTCAAAATCATGTATGCAAGTTGCCACATATCCTTTGTACAAGACTGGTAGTGGCTTGCTGGTGTTTACAATGCTGATTTAAACCAATTATTATTATGGTTCCAGTAAAGTATATTCTAGCTCTTACATATGCATGTAGTTCTGCCATTAAACTGCCTTAAGTAACTTTAAAAGTACTATGGCACTAGAGCTGATTAGAAATTGCAGAACATCTTTAATAATCATATTGGAAATGTCATAGTTGAAAATCTGATGCAGATGAACTTGCAAAGGTAAATGAATGTTAATCAAAATCAGACGATTAATCAGTGGCATACAGACATGTATGCAATTGGACCATAGGAAGCTGCCTTGTTTGCAGTCAACCCTTAGGGCCTTCTAGCTCAGTATGGCCTACAGGAATTCCCCAGGTTTTCGGGTGGGGATCTTTCATAGCCCTAACAGGAAATGTGCACTGGTCCCTGCCAAATTGGAAGTATCTCTAAAATGCATCAGTTATGCCTGCTCCATACACACATTTCCCTGCTATAGTAGCCTCTTAAGCTGTGAGCGGTGCTGCCCCTAGTTTAAGAATTGCAGGGGAGATGAGACAAGTAATGTGTGGGTAGATAGCTGATTCTATTCACAGACATGCAAATCTCTAAAGTGAATCTGGTGATGAAGTTTGGGAAAGTTATTTGTGTGTAGTTTCTTTCTCTTCCACATGAATGCCATACTTTATTTAGTGGTGGAAAAGGCAGATGGAGAATGATGGATCAGCTTTGCAAGCAGCGACAGCTCCTTAATCCTGGAGTTTGTATCCTGACAGGCCCATGCATGTGGCCTTCTACTACAAGGGATCTATTTAATGTGGCAGGCTTTGTTCTTGGCACAGCTGTGATGTTATGCAACACATGCCTAGTACAAGGCCACTGGAAAGTATGTACCATGCTCAGGTTCAGGCTGTGCCGAAAAGTTCTGAACCCAATATTTAACAGTCCGTAGAGGCTTGAGTCTCATTCATTTTAAATACTGTATGCAAGTCAAATCAAAATTTCAACAAGCCTGGAACTGGTGAGATTTTAAAAGCAGGTTCTTTAGGTTTTATGCAGTTTTGCATTTTAGTATGTTGATTGACTTTATTTGCTTTGATTACTGTAATGCTTTAAATGTTTGTTTATGATAAACCCATTCGACATTGCCATTTCACACAATGCAGTCAGTACTGGTTCAAAGTTCAAGTTCACAAATTGCAACAACGTAGGATGTGCAATATGTTTTTCATTCTTTTTTGTCTTTAACCTTTATGATTTTATATTGCAAACCACCGTGGCATATTTTTATGATACAGCGGTATATAAATATTTTTTGTAAATAAATAACTTATTCCAACCACCCTGGGTTGGATTAAGCTTTTAGAGGCCCTGTGCGCTGCAAAGATTATGGTGCCACTCATATGTTATTAAAAATAAAACAATACTAAACTCTAAAATAAAACAGTAGGGAAGTCAAACAAAATTCTGGCCACTCCCATGATGCGCTTTTTTTTGGGGGGGGGGATATCAAATATCAAATTCTTTAGAATTCCTCCACCTTTTTTGTGGCGCTAAGCATGTTCTTAGTCTGCCTATTGGATGAGCCAGCGCTGCAGCCATCAGCCTCCTACCGCCACCCACAAATCTTCAGTCTATGAGGAAATGGGGGATTGTTAGGACTGTGGGGAATAAACATTTCTTAACTTAAGCAGCAAGTAACAATGACAAAATGAAAAGGAACTGCAGAGGGAGAAAAACTGTTTATATGTGCACTTTTGTTCCCATGTAGTATGCACACTTGCCCAGTTTGCAGATCTTCCTTCAGGTCTATAATTCTCTTGGAAGAATATTACAAAATATTTTGACTTCTGAGAAAATGGGGAAATGCAATTCTTCACCCATTTAGTTTATTTGTTGATACTGATGTGAGGGGTTCAGCCTGATAATTGTGAACAAGTAGTCAGTAAGATTACAAAAGAATATTTATGTCTAGTGTATTAATATCTGGATTTGTTGTTACTTTGTTTCATGAATGGACAATTTGCCTGCAGGGATTTGATCTCAGACAGGTGCTCTGCAGGTGGCAGGTGTGAGAAATAGCCAGTATTTGGAGTTGGAACTTCGACAGAAAAACTGACAAAAGCAAGTTTCCAACTGGAATTAGTTGGAAAATACAGTTCCTGTGTGGAGTTCTTACCAAACTATACTTATTCCTCCCCCCACCCCAAGATGTAGTGAAGACACACAAACCTATCCACCTTATCA